GCTTCAAGCTCCAACAGGGGAGGTTTAGATTGAACATTAGGAAGGAATTTTTCACCCAAAGAGTGGTCGTTGGAACAGGCTGCCCAGGGAGGGGGGGGAGTCCCCATCCCTGGCTGTGTTTAAGGGCCATTTAGATGCAGTGCTGAGGGACATGGTGTAGGGGAGGACTTTGTAGAGTAGGGGAGATGGTTGGACTCGATGATCCCGAGGGTCTCTTCCAACCTAGACCATTCTATGATTCTATGAAATGAGTCCTGTGTGGCTCAAAGCAGGAGAGTATGGAATTGTGGAGCAGGTAAAGCAGGTTTCCTTGGATGATTTGTAGCCTGAGAGGGTGTTTAGCTCGTTTGGAGGTGTCTCCTGGTCGGCACCCTCTGCCCGTGCCACGCGTGGTCAGGTGTTTTCCTGCTGCTTCACTCTGCTGTTGTCCCCCCTGGCAGGTGACGGAGCTGGGTCGCATCGCCAGCCACTACTACATCACCAACGAGACCATGCAGACTTACAACCAGCTCCTCAAACCCACCCTGAGTGAAATCGAGCTGTTTCGGGTCTTCTCCCTCTCCTCGGAGTTCCGGAATATCACCGTGAGGGAGGTAGGGACCCAGCCAGCCCCGAGGGCACCGCTCTCCGTGCTTTGAGGGCAGATTCAGAGCTCGCCCCAAGAGGAACCCGAGGTCTCATCTCTCCTGTCTCAATTTTTCTGCAGGAGGAGAAGCTTGAGCTTCAGAAGTTGCTGGAGAGAGTTCCCATCCCCGTGAAGGAGAGCATAGAGGAGCCCAGCGCCAAGGTCTGTCCCACCCCACCACCCAGGGGACTTCTTCTGCCTGTCCTGAGGGCTGCAGTGGTCTTTTTTGGGGGGAACTGTGATGGGAAATGCTCCTCTGAGGGTTGGGTTTACATTCTCTTCCCTCTGCGGGACATCCTATCCTGGGCTGTGTCCAGAGATGCTCCAAGAGCTGCTCCTTGTCTCTGGTTGTCCTGTGGAGTGGGACATCCTGGACTGTGTCCACAGATGCTCCTTGTCTCTGGTTGTCCTGTGGAGTGGGACATCCTGGGCTGTGTCCAGAGATGCTCCAAGAGCTGCTCCTTGTCTCTGGTTGTCCTGTGGAGTGGGACATCCTGGGCTGTGTCCAGAGATGCTCCAAGAGCTGCTCCTTCTCTCTGGTTGTCCTGTGGAGTGGGACAGTTGGTCCCTGTTGATCATTTCCATCTGCCATGTGTCACAGCCCCAGCAGGATGGGGACACTGAGACCCCCCCTCTCTGTTCTCCTTCCCCAGATCAACGTCCTCCTCCAGGCTTTCATCTCCCAGCTGAAGCTGGAAGGGTTTGCTCTCATGGCAGACATGGTCTACGTTACCCAGGTGAGTGAGGAAACCTGCTTGGGGCTTCTCTCCTTCCTCTCTGGCTTCAGTCCTGTCACGTCTCCGTCTCAGACAACTATTTACACCTTGGAAATTTAATTTGTGGTCGTTAATGGCTTGGAAAATAATGAGCTGTGAGTGGTGAGGTCTAACCCCTGCCAGGATGGGAGTTAGAACTTCATTGGAGTCTCCAGTTTGTAATCAAAATCATTTAGCTCTGGAGGACTAGAGGGTAACCTTCATCTTCTACTACAAAGACCAAGTTCCCAGGGCTGGGAATCAAGTAGGTGTTTGGGCTGAAGGACCTTTAAATATAATTCAGTTCTTGAAAAGGGCTGATAAGAAAGATGGGGAAAGTCTTTTTACCGGAGTCTGTGGTGAGAGGAGAAGGGGGGACAGTTTTAAACTGAAAGAGGGGAGATTTAGGTTGGATATAAAGAAGAATTTTACTCTTGAGGGTGGTGAGGGCCTGGTTGCCCTGAGAAGCTGTGGCTGCCCCATCCCTGGAGGGGTTCAAGGGCAGGTTGGAGGGGGCTTGGAGCAACCTGGTCTCATCAAAGATGTCCCAGCCACTAGAAGGGATGGAACTGGATGATCTTGCAGGTCCCCTCCAAGCCAAACCATCCTGTGATGCCCTGGCCATTCCACCACTTCCCTGGGTTGGAGGGGACCTTGAAGTTTACTAAGACCAACCATCAACCCACCACTGCCCAACCCACCACTGCCCCATGGCCCTCAGCACCGGCTTTGAGATCCCTCCAGGGCTGGTGTTTGGGGAGGGGAGCCCCAGGAGGAGAAGGAAGAGTTTGAAACCAAAAATTAGGAGATGGAGCTGAGATGTGGGGAGGAAATTCTTCCCCCTGAGGGTGGTGAGACCCTGGCCCAGGTTGTCCAGAGAAGTTGTGGCTGCCCCATCCCTGGAGGGGTTCAAGGCCAGGTTGAAGCAACCAGGTTTGAACATTTTAAAGTCTAGATGGTCTTTAAAAGGTTCTTTCCTACCCAAACCATTCTGTTCCCATGTGGTTGGGATTTGAAAATTTTAAAGTCTAGATGGTCTTTAAAAGTTTCTTTCCCACCCAAACCATTCTGTTCCCATGTGGTTGGGCAGGATGATGGGTAGAAAGGAAGGAAGAGCTCAATGTGAGGGTCACAGCCCTGGTCTGAGCCCCCCATTCTCTGTGTGTCCCCCCCAGTCTGCCGGGAGGCTCATGCGGGCCATCTTTGAGATTGTCCTCAACCGTGGCTGGGCCCAACTCACCGACAAGACCCTCAACCTCTGCAAGATGATCGACAAACGGATGTAAGTGCCATCTCAGGGGGGTTTTCTCCGAGGAGCCCTCAGCACAGCCTGGCCAGGGCTGGAAGGAGAGCTCTTGCACCTTCTCGGGGTGTAAAGGAGCTGCCCCGTGTGTCTGGTCTTGGAGAACCTGGTGCTCTTGAAGGGCTTGGTGTCTTGTTCCTTTGGCTCATCCCCCGGGGTGTCCTCGCAGGTGGCAGTCCATGTGCCCCTTGCGCCAGTTCAAGAAGCTGCCTGAGGAAGTGGTGAAGAAAATTGAGAAGAAGAATTTCCCCTTTGAGCGACTCTACGACTTGAACCACAACGAGATAGGTAGGGAGCCACGAGGAGACATGTCCCTCCCTCTTTGTTCTCCTTCTCCCCTTCTCCCTCTCCCCTTCTCCCTCTCCCCTTCTCCCTCTCCCCTTCTCCCTCTCCCCTTCTCCCTCTCCCCTTCTCCCTCTCCCCTTCTCCCTCTCCCCTTCTCCCTACCCAGAAATCGTGGGGTTTGTCCCCGTCTTATTGAAGAAACACCACTGGGAGGGTTTTGGTCCAGCTTGAGCAGGGCAGAGGCTTTTCCTTGGCACCTTCCAGCCGCTTGAATTGCCCATAATGATCCTCCTCCTCACCCAGAAATCGTGGGGTTTGTCCCCGTCTTATTGAAGGAACACAACTGGGAGGGTCTTGGTCCAGCTCAAGCAGGGCAGAGACTTTTCCTTGGCACCTTCCAGCCGCTTGAATTGCCCATAATGACTATTTTTCCAGTTTGGGAGCTGTTGGTCCCCCCCTGTTGTCCATCTGTCCTGATGGCAGCACCTTTCTCTTGCAGGAGAACTGATCCGAATGCCCAAAATGGGCAAAACCATCCACAAATACGTTCATCTGTTTCCAAAGCTGGAGCTCTCGGTCCATTTGCAGCCCATCACTCGTTCCACCCTCAAAGTAGAGCTCACCATTGCCCCTGACTTCCAGTGGGACGAGAAGGTGAGTTGTGGGGCTAAAATAAATCCCCTTCTTGGGGGGTGGAAGGCACTTGTGGGGCAGGATTGCTGGTGTTGAGCTGGAAGGAGAAGCTCTGGACTGGGCTAGGAAGGTAAGGGTTGCCCTTTCTCAGGTCCATGGATCATCTGAAGCTTTCTGGATCCTGGTGGAGGACGTGGACAGCGAGGTCATCCTGCACCACGAGTATTTCCTGCTGAAGGCCAAGTATGCCCAGGACGAGCACCTCGTCACCTTCTTCGTGCCCGTCTTCGAGCCGCTGCCCCCCCAGTACTTCATCCGGGTGGTCTCCGACCGCTGGCTCTGTGAGTCTCCCACCCCAAAATTTTCACAGCAGGGGGGTCTCCTGGGGGCTGGGGGGTGGGATTCAGGTCCTCTCCCAGTGCTGTGCTGGGAGGAAGCCTTCTGAGATCCCAGTCACAGCAGGGTTGGGGATACCGTTATAGAATCATAGAATTGCCCAGGCCGGAAGGGACCTCCAAAGGCCATCTAG